TGGTTTTCTTTAGTGTCTTGTGGCTGTGTCTTATGCCCGTTTGGTTAGGTTTGTGCCTGTGGATGCAGATGTGAGAGGACTTGATGGGCGTAGCACCTTCCAGTTGGTTGCTGCCAGTGCAAGCACATTTTACTGTGCGTGTGTTCACCGTGCTAGGTTGTGGTCTTGTGGCCTTGAGAGAGCAGTGTGCAGAGACAGCTTCCTTGCGGTTGTGAGCTTTGCTGGCCAGGCCTCAGCACAGCACACAGATGCACAGGGTGGACTTCAGGCCATTCTCCACCTTAGGAGGAGCTGGGCACCGTGCCACGCTCTGTTGATTTATTTAAAAGGCAGAGTGACAGGGGGACATCTTCCATCCACCAGTTCACTCCTCAAATACCCACAGCAGGCAGGGCTGGCCAAGCCACAGCTAGGAGTTGGAACGCACTCTGGGTCTCCCACATGGGTGGCAGGGAGCCAAGTACTCGAATCATCACCTGCACTGGCAAGAAGCTGGGACAGACGTAGAGCAGCACTTGACCCCAAGCCCTCCAGTATGGCAGCCATGCGTTCCAAACCTGCGCCCTCAGCCCCACGCCACGGCGCTGCTGCTCCGAGCACAGACGTCCTGCAGGCCGCAAGGTCCGTGCTGGGAATTCATCTTGAACCATGCCGCGTCTGTTGTCTGCCTTTCCCGAGAGGGTCGGCAGTGTGCTGGCTGGTCTTTACCCTGGCTGCTTTCCCCACGGTAGGCGGAGCTTGTGCTGGTGTGACGGCCCTCCTTGGTCCATGGTACTGCCGTCTGGGGCCGCTGGTGTTTTGAGTGAGGGCCTGCCCTGGGGGTGTCTCTGATGCTCCTGGCAGGACTCACTGGGCTCTCCTTGCCTCCACGAGGGTAGGTGGGGGTCCTGTGTCAGGACAGAGCTGTCAGGTGGCTGGTGCTGATTCCCTGGGTGGGTGGGGTCCTGTGGGGACAGAGCTGTCAGGTGGCTGGTGCTGATTCCCTGGGTAGGTGGGGGTCCTGTGGGGACAGAGCTGTCAGGTACTGGTGCTGATTCCCTGGGTGGGTGGGGTCCTGTGGGGACAGAGCTGTCAGGTGGCTGGTGCTGATTCCCTGGGTGGGCGGGGTGGGGGCTGTGTCAGGACAGAGCTGTCAGGTGGCTGGTGCTGATTCCCTGGGTGGGCGGGGGTCCTGTGTCAGGACAGAGCTGTCAGGTGGCTGGTGCTGATTCCCTGGGTGGGTGGGGGTCCTGTGTCAGGACAGAGCTGTCAGGTGGCTGGTGCTGATTCCCTGGGTGGGTGGGGTCCTGTGGGGACAGAGCTGTCAGGTGGCTGGTGCTGATTCCCTGGGTGGGCGGGGGTCCTGTGTCAGGACAGAGCTGTCAGGTGGCTGGTGCTGATTCCCTGGGTGGGCGGGGGTCCTGTGTCAGGACAGAGCTGTCAGGTGGCTGGTGCTGATTCCCTGGGTGGGTGGGGGTCCTGTGTCAGGACAGAGCTGTCAGGTGGCTGGTGCTGATTCCCTGGGTGGGCGGGGGTCCTGTGGGGACAGAGCTGTCAGGTGGCTGGTGCTGATTCCCTGGGTGCCCCATGGCGTTCACCGTTGCAGCCAGCTGCCTGGAAGGTCTCTATCCAGAGGCGTGTGCTGACTGTGCCGTTTCTTCAGTGGGTTTGGGACTGGCCAGGTTTTTAAGTGAGCTGCCTGGTTCGTCTTGTCGCCAGATTTGTCGGTGGAGAATCGTTGGAGTGTTCGCTTCTGTTTTAAAGCTGTGGGGCTGCGGCCTCGCCGGTGTTCTCCTGGTAGTGGTGAGCGTGTGTCCAGTCTGAGGAGCTTCCGCCTCCCTTCCTGTGGCCACCTCTGAGGGACGGGCTTGGAAGCAGAGAGAGAGAGAGATCCTCCATCCACTGGTTCACTCCCCACGTGCCTGCTACAGCCAGGGCTGGCCAGGAGTCCAGGAGGCAGGAATTGCGCTTGGATCTGCCCCGTGGGAGGCTGGTGTCCAGGTGCTGGACGAAGTGTGGAGCAGCCGGAACTGGAAGGGGGCACCCTGCTGTGAGGCGTGCTTCGCCCTCTGTGCCACAGCGCCCGCCCCTGAGCCAGTGTCAGGTCCTTTTTGAGTGCAAGTGTTTGAAGTCAGAGATTCTCCTAATGCAGGTTGTTTGAATGACACTCTGAATTTTATCAGCAAGTTAGGAATATTCGTATTTTGTGATTGCCCCTCCGTTTCTTGTTTTGAACTGTGGCTTACTTAAGAGTGTTGTGTGATTTCTGAGTACTTTGGGCTTCCCTGCCTGTCTATTGCCAGGGATTTCTGGCCGCTGCCGCTGAGCGAGAGCCACCTGCTGCAGGTGCGCTGAGCAGCTGCGCCCGTCCTGCTGCGCGGCTGTTCAGGCAGCTCCTCCCTGAGATGCTTGTAGACTTTGCTGTCACCGTTGCAGACATTTGCATTTCCTTCCTTTCGGCCTTGTGCCGTGTGCAAGGAAGCAGGTGTCGCTGGCTGTGTCGGGAGCCAGCCGCTGCGCCCTGGACACCAGGGGAAACCCCCTTCCGCCCCTGGGTGCGCCTGAGCAGTGGGCGCGTCCGTGCTGGGTTTCCTGTGGGGGCCTGCCGCGACTGTTGCAGGAGAAACGGGTGGGGACGCCCTTCTCCTCTCTGGTCCTTGCGCGTGGTTGGTCTCGCAGCTGCGGGGACATGGCCTTCATTTTTCTAATTCATCAGCAGAAACAGATAAAGCCCATCAAGGCTTATTTAGAAGGTCAGGCTGAGCAGCTCCCCAGGAGGTGGTCCCAGGGCTCCGCACAGAGGGTCTTAGGGCCTTTATCAGGAAGCCGTCCCGAGGGGACACAGCCAGCGGCTGGGGCCCCTCCTGCTCTGTGCACCGCCCACAGCACGTGCAGGTCCTTGGGGCCGCTGGAGCCCTCAGGAGGGGCAGTCGCATGGCGGGTCTGGTTTTGAGGTGTCGCTGAGGCCGTGGCCAGATCAGTGAGGGCGGCTTCTCCTCTGCAGCCTGCCTCCTGTCATTCTGCTTCTTGGCCGAGTTGAAACTGCTTTCTGTGGAGCCCGTCTCTGCCCCCTGGTGGTGACCGTGGGGAGGCCCCGGGGGCAGCAGCAGCAGCCTGGGCCCGTCCTGCTGCCTTGAGGCCCTGCTCCCTTAGTGCCGCCCCCTGCCTGGCAGTCGCTGCCCGGCCCTGGGACCAGCCGAGCAGATGACAGGTCCTGGAGCCAGGTGAGCGGGCCTGCCGCCAGGGCACGTGTGGCCGAGGCAGGTGGTCAGACGCTCTGGGGAGCATCGTGGGTAGCCAGTGTCTCCCAGCCTCCCATCTCGGCTGCTCTGGCTGCCGTGTCTCAGCCGGGGGTGTTGTGGAGACACCGCTGGTGCTGGGCCGGAGGACTCGTCTCTGAGCGTGTGCCTGTAGCCTCCGGACGCCTCACCTGAGCTGCCTCGGGGGCTCATGCCTAGAGAGCAGAGTGGCCTTGTCACGGCGCGGAGGCTCTGGGTGAGGCGCGACACCTCTGGTTTCCTGCGTCGTTTCCTTTCTAGTCTAGTGGAGTGCGCACGTGTCCAGATGAGCTGCAGAGCCAGGGTGGAGCCGTGGTGGTCGGTAGGAAGGGTGTGCGGCATAGGAGCCCTGCCCGGGTCACACGGCAGCCACGTGCAGCAGAGTGGGGCTGTGGGGGCAGGGCCAGGAGGAGCGTGGCCTGAGGAGTGACCCTCTGGCTCGAGTGCTGTTCCTCCCAGGAGGGGACTGGGGGAGGCGGAGTGTCCCCCCGCCCGTATGAGTAGGGCCCGGTGGAGAGGGACGGTGACTTCACAGTGAAAGCCCTGAGGGGTGATCCCAGCTGGGGTCTTTGTGGTGAGTCGGGCACCATCTAGGGTGCATCACCTCCGGGGCCTTCCCTGGCTGCTGCTGCTGCTGCTGCCTTTTTTTTTTTTTTTTTTTTTTTTTCCAGATTTTAAGTTTTATTTATTTGAAAGACAGAATCACAGAGAGAGGTCTTCCAACCTCTGGTTCATTTCCCAAATGGCCACAATGGGCAGAGCTGAGCTGATGTGAAGCTAAGAGCTAGGAGCTCCTTCTGGGTCTCCCACGTGGGTGCAGGGGCCCAAGGACTTGGCCGTCTTCTACTGCTTTCCCAGGCCACAGCAGAGAGCTGGATTGGAAGTGGAGCAGCGGGGACTCGAACTGGCACCCATATGGGATGCCGGCCCTGCAGGCCAAGGCTTTAACCTGCTGTGCTACAGCACCAGCCCCTTCCTTGGGTTCTAATCCAGACACCTGCTGTTGGGCCTGGGAGGCAGCAGGAGATGGCCCAAGTACCTGGGTCCTTAGCACCCACACGGGAGGCCAGGGTGGAGCTCCTGGCTTCAGCCAGGTGAGCCTGGCCTCCAAGCGCATCTGGGAGGTGGATAGATGTCCCCCCCTTTCCACTTGGAGTTCATAGTGCAGACACAGGGAGGCATTGGAGGGGACGGCCGCGCTCCCCACCCTGGGCCAGCGTTCTCCGAGTCCTTCCCGGACGCCCGGGTGCCTTGGCACATGGGCGTCACAGAAGACGGGTGGGGGTGCTGAGACCCACTGAAGCAGAAGACCGAGGGGAAGAGAAGTGGCTTTTGTTGTTTTCAAGGCCCAGGACAGCCTAAGTGGGCAGTGAGTGGCACCTGCAGATCGCTGTGCGAGGCTGGAGCCGTTGGAAGGACGATGGGACTGGAGAACACAGGAGTTCAAGTGGGCGAGCCCCACGTCCCGGGCGGCTCCCGGCACAGCCCCTTCTACGCAGCAGCCGAGTTCTGGAGTGTTCCGTCCCTGATGGTCGATGGTCACTGGAATGGCAGACTTTGAGGTTCACCCGTTCTAGTTGATGAATCACACCTGCTGGGGTACCAGGAGGAGCGGCTGGCAGCACCTTGGAGCTGTCACCTCTCGGCATCTCCTTGACGTGGGCCCTCCTGGTCCTCCCGGGGCGCCCGCAGGCTTGGGGGCTGTGGCAGCACGGTTCTCACGCGACTCCGTTTGTCTTGTAGAGAGTCAAGAAGGACGTGGACCACGGCACCCAGCACTCAGACATGTTCCTGCTGAAGCCCGAGGACGGGAGAGAAGGTACTGGCACGGCACAGGGGGCTGGCCTCTGCCTCATCCGGGGCAGAGGGGAGGCCCCCGCCCTGCTCTGGTGGACGGGTGGGGACTGGCTGCACACTGCCTGGAGCTGGGGGCCAGCCTGCTCGTCCAGGGGTGCGTTTCCCTAAGTGCCTGCCTGTCTGCACAGAAGTGGCCTACGGGTGTGCCCTGGGCAGTGCAGGTGGCCTCCACGGGTGATCTTCGTGAGAGCAGTAGCACGCAGGGCAGGGCTCTGGAGAGTCGGCAGGCCAGAGCCTGGCCAGGCAAGGGCTCGTGTGTGGACAGGGGAGTTCCAGGACACGTGCCCAGGATGCTGTGGGCCCCTGCCCCGAGGAGCCAGGGCGGAGTCGGCGCTGGGTGCAGCTCTGCCAGCAGCCTCGGCGCCTCGCAGGCTGCTGCGCCCCCAGCACCGGCACTGACGGGCCTGAGGACGCCGTTTCCTAGTGGGATGCAGGGCAGCGGTGATGGTCTCGTGGGCTTCTTTAAAAGCCGAAGTGGGGTTACCGTGGGTGAGGCCTTAGCCTGACCCTGGACGGCCCAGGCGCTCTGTGGTGTTCTGTGCTCCTGCGTGGAGCCGGGCTTCGAGTAACTGGCTGTTTCTCGGTAGCGGCCTTTCAGAGGCTCTCAAGGCCCCCGACGTCACAAGGAGCCCTGCCTAGGTGTGGCCCGGGGGGTGGGGAGCGAGGGGCCTCTCCTACCGGCCATGTCTGGTTTGTCAAATAGGGCGAGGCCGGCCGCTATGACGCCGGGGCCGCGTACCGCCGTACCACTGCCCTGCTGAAGGCTCCTGCAGCCGGGGCTCGGATGCCTGTGCCGGTGCTTCCCAGGAGGACGGGTGTGACCTGGGTGGGGCTCATCGAGATGGAGCTGGTGGCTGGGCTGCCTCGGGTGGCAGGGCGACGTCGTGCCGTGTGAGCACACGTGCTGGTGGGGCTGGAAGCACGTGGGTCCTGGCCTGTGTGTGGTGCTCTGGCGTCTCCTCCTTCCCTGGCTCCTGGGGTGCTGGGGTGACGTTGTAAGGAGCTGACGCACGGCCTGTTGGTGGCTTGGCTGTGTGCTGCTGGACAGCACTGCTTGCCATTAGGTTTTCTTAAAAAATGTTTATTTTCATCCGTTTAAAAGAGAAGGAGGGAAGAAAGAAAAGGAGAGCCTCATCTGCCGGGTCGCTCGCTCCCCGTGTGCACACGGCCGGGGCTGGGCCACGCCCAAGTGAGGGCCCAGGTACCCGAGCCACCTCCTGCCTCCTTCCCAGGGGCAGCAGCCGGGCCTCGCACCTGAGCTCCCAGGTGGGCTGGGGCGGCCCACGCCGTGGTTTGGCTTCTGCACCTCCAGCCCCACCCCCACCCCAAGCTGTTTGAAACGTGTTTCTTGAGTGTGTGTTGGTCTCAGTGTTCTGGATGTGGTGGGAGATTGTCCCACAGCCTCGCAGGTGACCTTGGGAGCTGCCACGCACTGGAGCACGGCCGAGGAGAAACAACAGAGACCTCGCGGGGGTCTGGGACGGGGCCCAGAAGCAGGGCAGAGGGGCCGCGCCCGGGGCTTTGCCTGCTCCCTGGTCAGGGGCTGCACCTCAGGACGGCCTCTCAGGCCTCCCCTGCGCGCTGCCTGCTCCTGGCTGAGGGGCCGCCTCCCAGCCGCGTCTGGGTCCGGCCCTGGTGGAGCAGTGTGGGGCTGACAGGCAGCCTTCAGGAAGGGGGCGCGGTGGGCCTGGCCCCTTGACCTTGACCTCGGCCTGTTCGCGGCCCTCACCGTCTTCCTGCCTCCCACAGGAAAGTGGACGTGGGCCCGCATTCACCCCTCCGGAGTCAAGCCCAGCCCGAGGTCTGGCTTCTCAGTGGCTGTGGCCCCAAATCAGCAGACGCTGCTCTTCGGGGGGGTGTGTGACGAGGAAGAGGAGGAGCGCCTGGAGGGCGACTTCTTCAATGACCTGCACTTCTACGACGCCACCAGGAACCGCTGGTTTGCGGGGCAGCTGAAGGTAGCTAGGCCCTGAGGGCTGTGCGTCCCATGGCTCCACGGGGCCCCGAGCCCTCAGGCCCTGGCACGGCAGCGCTGCCTGCTCCTTAGCCAGGGGCCTGTGGCCTGGAGCCTTACGCTCCTGGGGTGGGGGGTGGATCCCCGTCCCTGCCATAGCCCTCAGCTTGCCCGGCATGAGCTCGGAGCCTCCCCAGCTGCTCTGCCCACACAGGGTGTGGTTGAGGGTCCCTGCCGGCAAGAAAGTGAAGCCGGTTGCCCGGGGCCTCTGGCGGCCATCAGGCCCGTGGGGAATTGCCCACGTGCAGCGTCTGGGAGCGGTGCAGTCGCAGTTCTGGGCTGCGATCGCGGGGCCTCTGCGCGTTCCTGGGGGGGTGGGGGGGTCAAGTCCACTGTGGCCCAGGCTCAGAGGCCGAGGGGCCCTCGTTGTCTCGGGCATGGCGGTGATGGCTGGGAAGTTGGGGAAGGTGTGGCTGGGGCCATCTCACGAGAGGCAGGAGGGGACCCGGGATGGCAGGGGCCTGACCTGCTCTGCCCTGGAGTGGGAGGCAGTGCCCTGACAGGAGGGCCCTCGTGACGTGCTGGGCAGGAGCAGGTCCACTGCTGGGCGGGGTTGCGGCCTGCCTCGTCCTCTTGCTGACAGCGGAGGGTACCGGTGTGGCAGCGTCTTGGCTCTGCAGCAGTTGGGGGTGGATGGACCTCCTCAGGACAGGCCTCTCCACTGAGGGCAGAGCACTGCCTGGCGTCCCCAGGGCCGTCCTGTCGCCCCGTGTGAGGTGCAGGGTTCCCCACCCAGGGCTGAGCGCATGGCGTCTCCTGCTGTCCTGAGATCCGCCTGTCAGGGCTGCTGTCCAGCTCACTGCCCGTGCTTGTTCTGTCGATAGGGCCCCAAATCAGAGAAGAGGAAACGGAGGCGGGGCAAGAAGGAGGACCTGGCAGGGGCCTGTGAGCCGGAGAGCCGGGGAGCCAGTGCCCCGCAGCCCCTGGAGGTGGTCAGCGAGGTGGTGACCGAGGATGGGACCGTGGTCACCATCAAGCAGATGGTCGCAGGCCCCGGGCCCGGTGGGACAGCCCCAGGAGGAGGACGAAGATCGGGACGGGGCTGAGGCGGCCGGCGGGCCTGAGGTCGGGCCCAGCCCACGCTCCCACGCCATGCTGGCTGTGAAGCATGGGCTGCTGTACCTCTACGGGGGCATGTTTGAGGCTGGTGACCGCCAGATCACCCTCGGGGACCTGTACTGCCTGGACCTGCACAGGATGGAGGAGTGGAAGGTCCTGGTGGACGTGGACCCGGGTAAGCTGGCGGCAGGGGTGGTGGTGGTGGTGGTGGTGGTGGTGGTAGGAAGCCAGGCTCGGTGGCGTCTGCCCGAGCTGCCGGGGGCACAGCAGTTTGTGTGCCAGCAAGGGCCCTGCTCTGGCCTTTCTGTGCCCGCTGCTGCGGGGCAAGGCCAGTGCTGGTCCACAGTGCCCAGGCCTCCGGGCCCCCATCGCAGCCGTCTCCCCGCTCGCTCCGACGCCAGCTTCGCGGCTGTCATCCTCAGCTGCTGCTGGACTGTGCCTTTAAGAGCTGAGATGGGAAGTGACCCAGAGCCTGCCGTTCAGGGCGCCTGCCGCCGGGGCAGGACTGACGCCGTCAACAGGAGCAGCGGCCCGCGAGCCGAGGCTGCAGCGCAGGCACGGGCTTGCACTGGCGCCCTGTGTCCAGCAGGCGTGCCACGCGGGGCTCGTCCAGCCTGCCACTGTTCCCCGTCTGCTCTAAGACCGGGGCTTGCAGACTGTGTCTTTGCCAAGGGCTGGAGTTGTTGGCACACACGGATCGCGGACAGGAAGAGGCCAGCCTCCAAGGAAGTGGCTCAGCACCGCTGGGCAGCATCCCTGGCTTCCTGGCACACTAGGAACCTGTGTGTCTGCTCTGGTCTTAAAGAAACTCAGGAGTGGCTGGAGGAGACGGACTCGGACGAGGACAGTGAGGAAGCCGAGAGTGCAGATGGTTCGGACGAGGACGAGAACAGTGGAGAGGAAGAGGAGGAGGAAGGTGAGTGGCAGATGGATGGGGGCTGGACACAGGCCAGCACCCTCCCTGGCCTCTCTGTTGAGAGAGAGGCTTTGTATCTTCATCACTTGTTTAGTAAAATTGGGTGTCGTTTTGCAGACGCCCTCTTTAGGCAGTGGAGGTTTTTAAAGCTGGGGCCGGCCTGCAGTGCTCGGATCCCACGTGGGAGACCGGTGCTGGTTCAGTCCTGACTCCTCCACTCCCATCCAGCTCCCGCTAGTGCACCTGGGAGAGCAGTGGAGACGCCCGAATGCTGGGGCCCGCACCCACGTGGGAGACCAGAAGCTCCTGGCTTCGTCCTGGCCCAGCCCTGGCTTTTGCCACCATTTGAGGAATGAACCCGCAGATGCAAGAGCTCTCTCTCTGTCTCTCCCTCTCTCTGTCACTCTGCCTTTCAAATAAATAAAATAAATCTTCTTTTTACTTATTTGAAAGGCAGAGTGGCAGGGAAATATGTAGATAGCTTCCTTCCGCTGATTCCCTCCCCAAAAAACCCCAAACAGCCAAGGCTGGGCCAGGCCGAAGCCAGGAGCCAGGAGCTCCACCTGGGTCTCCCTCATGGGGGGCAGGATCCCGTGTACTTGGCCTTCATCCCCTGCCTCCCAGGGCGCACAGCCAGGAGCTCCACCTGGGTCTCCCTCATGGGGGCAGGATCCCGTGTACTTGGCCTTCATCCCCTGCCTCCCAGGGCGCACAGCCAGGAGCTGGGTCAGAAGCAGAGGAGCCAGGATCGGAACCAGCACCGTGGCATGGGTTGTGGTGTCGCTAGTGGCAGCCTAATCTCGCGTGCCACATCGTCTGTCCCAAGCCTAAGTTTTAAATTTTTACTTGTTAAAAAAAAAAAGATTGATCTGAATGGCAGAGTGACAGAGATCATCCATCTCCGCTTCACTGCCCAGATGCGTCCAATAGCCCGGGCTGGGCGAGGCGAACCCAGGAGCTTGGAGCTCAGTTCTCTCCCTCGTGGGTGGCAGGAACCCAGACACGTGGCCCATCGCCCGCTGCTTTCCCAGGAGCATTAGCAGGAAGTCAGATTGGCAGTGGAGCCGGGGCTCGAAGCTGCTCTCCGACAGGGGTGTGTGCATCCCAGGCAGCGGCCTGTCCTGCTGCGCCACGACAGCCGGCCCGGGCTTCAGTTCTCAGCCCATGGCCCTCTAGAGCGTGCCTGGCCACGTGCTGGGGCTGTGGTGTAGGCGAGCGCCTGCCCAGGCCTTCCCTGCTGACGCTGTTTCTTTCTCGGCCTGTGAGAAGAGCCCCCGCACTCAGAGGTGGCGACAGAGAGAAGACGCGGACAGCACGCGGCGCAACGCCCGGCGGAAGGGAGATCGCCGGCTCCCTGCGGCGCCAGGTGAAGGCCGCCGGGCCATGGCCCTCACCGCACAGGGCCTGTGCTGCACGCCTGGGCCGTGGCGGAAGCTGAGGATGCAGTTAAAGGCCCCACGTGACACTGACTGAGGTGCGGCTGAGTCCCCTGGGCGTCCCGGTGTCATCGAGGTAAAGCTGGACCTGAGGGAGCGGCACGGCTCATCGTCCGTGCCCGGCCTGGCACAGCCAGTGTTTCTGCTCTAATAAAAGCGGCTGAGCTGCGTGTTGTGGGCCTTTTCCTTCCACGGCTCCGCCAGGGCACGTGGTTGAGCGGGGCATTGCTGCTGTGGTGCCGAGGGCAGCCCAGGGCCCGCGGCACTGTCTCGGTTCTCGGCCCTGTCGGGGCTCACTCTGGGTCTCGGGGTGGAGGTCTTTGCCGCCTGGGTGGAGTGCAGCTCCTGTGCTGCACCTGTTCTAGCTTAGCCTGTGGGCACGCGGGGAGGAAGGGAAGCTGACCCGCAAGGCCTGTGCCGTCCTCCGCCCAGCGCCGCCTGCCCACCACGCAGGGCACCCGTTGCCCCATCGCTGTGGGGGCCTGGGAGTGACGGTGCCTGGGAACGGCAGAACCCTGGTTTCTGTTTGCGTGATTGGGGCCAGAAGTTGGGGTTCGAGTTCACGCAGTCCCCCGCTTCATGTTCAGTGCTTCATCAGTGAGGATAGCTCTTACTTCCCTCACACACCATGACCACCGCCTGGAAGTTGGGGGTGGAGGGCTTGAGCCACAGCTGGCTGGGAGCAGCCTGTCACTCCCCCAGCCGCACGGCCTCAGCACTGAGGGTGCCTGCAGCTTTTGCAGCCGCTCCATGCCTCTGGGCAGGCCTGGCGCGGCCCCGGGCTCCAGCAGCCCTGACTGCCGGGCCCTCTCCCGGGACCCGACAGCGCCCAGAGGCAGGAGGGCTCTGCGTGCGGCTCAAGGGAGGCTGCCAGTTTGGTGCTCCGCAGAGCCAGTGGCGGCCGCCGTGTGGCTCCGGCCGTGTGTGTGGTTTGTGTGCGGTGGGGCGGGTGGGGGGTTGAGTTTGGCTTTCCCTGGAGCGCTGGCCCGCCAGGGGCTCTGGGTGGCACTCCGGCTGAGCTGGCCACCCTGCTCAGGATGGCTGAGAAGCCAGGTGAAGGCGTCGTGGGGGCCGCGGGCCCGGCGGCCTCTGCCTGCTGCTGTCCACGCCCGCCGGCTGCAGCACAGTTGGCTGTTAGCAGGGACCCTTCGGGACCCGGAGTTTGAAGGAAGAAGATATATTTTGGATAACCCAAAGCAAGAGGGCAGAAGCCTCAAAGAAATGGAAACTTCCCACACGGAGAGCACTGGGTTGAGGCCCTTGGCCGCTCTGACTGGCGTGGTGCCGGAGGCGGTCGCGAGTCGGCGAGGAGGAACGGGAGGAGCTCCCCGAGACGGGGTGCCGTGACGCAGCCTGGCACAGGCGCTCCGCCGGGCCCGATGCCCCTGACGCCTCTGCGCCTGGAGCTGCTGGGGCGGGAGCAGCCGGAGCTGCCGCACGCCATGTCTGAGCTGGTGCGCAGGCCCCCACTGCTGCCCTGGCGTGCTGAGGGCCCCTGCTGATGGGCCCCTTCTTCCCGCCCCCCCACTGCTGCCCTGGCGTGCTGAGGGCCCCTGCTGATGGGCCCCTTCTTCCCGCCCCCCCACTGCTGCCCTGGCGTGAGGGCTCCTGGTGATGAGCCCCTTCTTCCCGCCCACTTGTGGGTTCTGCCCACGCCAGCCCTGCAGACCAGGGTCCCCCGCATCCCGACGCCAGCCCTGCAGACCAGGGTCCCCCGCATCCCGACGCCAGCCCTGCAGACCAGGGTCCCCCGCATCCCGACGCCAGCCCTGCAGACCAGGGTCCCCCGCATTCTGAATAGGGCTCCATTCTCTGGGCTGCCTGTGGAGGTCCACTCGTGTGAAGGAACTGGGCAGAGGCTTGGATTTCTTGGGTTGGATTGGGCTGAATTGGCAGGAAATCAGCAATTGGTTTCTAAATCCTGGACATCGAGGGTTTTTGTTTCAGACGCGACGGTGGCATTGACAGTGGTTTGACAGGTCCTGGACGTGACAGGCGGAAGTCAGTGGTGGGTGCCCGTCTGTGCGTGTCCAAGGCCTGTGGCAGCAGGAGGCCCTCTTCCGTGGACCACCTGGGACAGGTGAGGAGCTGGCACACCTTGTGTTCACGTGTGCAGGTGAGAGCCGTGCCTGGAAACCAGTGCAGTGTGTGGCAGTGGCAAAGTGACACCCTGTGGTTGGTGACTTCGCTCGGGTTTGCCCCGTGGGCTGGGAGTGGGGGTGTGGCGGCAGCTGCCCGCCAGGAAGACAGCTGGGGCTCTGACCCTGCTGAGCATCCCCAGCGTGGCTCCGCGTGCAGGGACAGGAGATCCCAGTGTCGGCTGCGGCCCAGGTGGGTGACACGAGAAAGCAGGTCCTGGAGCCCAGTGCCATCTCATTGCCCTTCCGTGTTTGCGTACAGCGGCTGCGGCAGCGCTGGAGGCCAGGCCTTGCTTGGTCCCTCAGGGGGGACCCTTGCATCCGCCAGCACAGCCAGGAGGCCTGCTGGTGAGCAGGTGGCCCTGGGGCAGGGCCGGGGTTTGCGTACCCGGTCTCACCCTCTGCCCTCAGAGAGAGGACTTGGAAGGAGCGCAGTGCTCAGAGGGACTCAGCCAGGCGGGAGCGCGGGCTGAGGGGGCCTCACTGAGAAGCTGGGCGCCCCGCCTGCGGGGACACGGGCAGTGAGGCCCTGGGGAGCCAGCACGGGCTCCGGGAGGCGTGCGGCTGGAGCCGGAGCCTGGCCCGCCTTCCTCTGCTCCGTCTGCTCACCTGGTAGCGAGGAACCAGGTGGAAGAGGGGAGAGCCAGTTCTCCCCGTGGTGAATGCCGTGGCTGCCCTCGTGGTGCAGGAGATGCGGGTGGGGGCGGGGTCCTCTGCATCCCACTGGGCTGGGAGGAGCTGCCGGCAAAGACCGACGGCAGCCACGTTCAACACTGTTTTCCAGATTGAGATGATGGAGTTCATTACCAAAAGGAGCAAAATTGTTCTCGAGCCGTGTCCCCTGGTTCCAAGGGAGGTGTGTGGTAATGGAATGACGGAGAGAGTGGACGTTGGTTACAGAAAACGACTTTATTTTCGTTAGTGACGGAGCTGTCTTTCCAGCTGTGAGGAAAGAAGGCCGAGGTAGCGTTTTAGCTGCTAATCTAAGTCAGAACACGGTCCCCATCCTGTGTCAGTGCCCAGGACGGCCGCACTGTCAGCCTGTTCACACGCACAGGAAAAGGGCAAGGCAGGTTACGGCCGATTCCCATCAGAACTTGCAAGGTGGCGTCTACACTGGGGTCACAGCTCCCTGTCAGGGCGGCCCCAGCCGGTGTGGCTTCGGTCACGAGCCGCGGTGGCTGCGAGTCCAGCCAGAGGGGTTGGGGTCAGCGTGGGGGTCAGGGTCAGGCGCCCCCGCCCACCTGGAGCCCAGGGAGGCACAAGGCAGAGCCGCTCTGGTGAGGCTGTGCTCAAAGGGCGGGTGTCACCCAGAGGCCTCCCCGTCTCCGCCTCCCCCTGCTGCGCCCCTACGCTGACCTCCCCTGAGCCTGAACCCTGTGTCTGGGGATGGCCAGCCCCCGTGCAGACTGGCCTCTGTCTTTTCACAGCCAGGTGATCTGGGAGCCCCGCCTCCTGACGGCGCGAGGGGGAGGCCGCGGGCTCTGTGGGTGCTGTGGGTGATCGGGGGTTGGGCAATGTGATGCAGGAAGCCATGGGTTTGAGACAGCCATGACCTTGGGTGGAATTTGCCACGGTGTTGCCCCTGGGGCTGCTGTGGCTTTCATGGGCAGATGACCAGGGCAGAACGCGGTGTGGCCTCCCCGGACTGGCCTGCGGCTGTCACCAAGCAGGGCTGGTGTGGCTTTCATGGGCAGGTGACCAGGGCAGAATGCGGTGTGGCCTCCCCAGACTGGCCTGCGGCTGTCACCAAGCAGGGCTGGTGTGGCTTTCATGGGCAGGTGACCAGGGCAGAACACGGTGTGGCGGTGTGGCCTCCCCGGGCTGGCCTGCGGCTGTCACCAAGCAGGGCTGGTGTGGCTTTCATGGGCAGGTGACCAGGGCAGAACGCGGTGTGGCCTCCCTGGACTGGCCTGTGGCTGTCACCAAGCAGGGCTGGTGTGGCTTTCATGGGCAGGTGACCAGGGCAGAACGCAGTGTGGCCTCCCCGGGCTGGCCTGCGGCTGTCACCAAGCAGCGCTGGTGTGGCTTTCATGGGCAGGTGACCAGGGCAGAACGCAGTGTGGCCTCCCCGGGCTGGCCGGTGGCTGTCACCAAGCAGCGCTGGTGTGGCTGGCAGCCGGCACGTGCAGGTGGCAGAGGTGAGGGCAGGCTTGCAGTGCCCGCCCGAGCCGGCAGCCTGCACGCAGTGAAGCACGTGTGCAGGCGTGCGTCTTCGCTGGTGGGGAGTGGGTGGGGCGGGGCAGAGAGGAGAGGTGAGGTAGCCAGGGGCGCCCCTGCCCCGTCCCTGAAACCCAGGACGCAGGCACTCCGCGCCATGGGCAGCAGCCTCGCGCCCGCTGCTCCCAGGGTAGGGACGGGAGGGTTGGGGAGTGTCCCACCACCCTCCTGCCCCGGGCCTGCGCTCTCCCAGCGCCCGGCACCCCGCTGCTGCTGAGCTCGCCGTGTCCTGGCAGGGGGCAAGACACAACTTGGCTTGAAGAAAAAAACACAACAGGCACTGTCCTCTGTTTGCGTCTCTCCAGGCTGAGTTAGTGGCACTTCCCAGCGCTTGGGCACAGGTCATTGTGGCCTTGGCTGACTGACAGCATCCCCTGACACCTGCTGGGCCTGGGCAAGAGGACGGAGCCGAGACAGCTGCACCGCCCGGCACCGCAACGGCAGCGCCCGGGAGCCGGCCTCAGGCTCCTGCAGCCGAGCCCTAAGATCCCGGATGAAAATGGTGGCCGTGCCTCCTCCTGAGGGTCGAGATCGTGGTCAGCTGTGGAAATGGACGTCTTCAAGTCTAGCAGGTGCCTTGACGGTGAGCGTGAGAGGAGCGAGACACGGACCCCGGCAGGGACTCCACCCTCCAGTCCCGGGCGCGCCGGAGCAGGGGCTGTCAGCGTCCTGGGGGCGGCTGGGCCTCTGCCTCTCCTGTCCCCGGGGTCCACGCCCAGCAGGTCCTGTCCGGAGGGGCCGTGCTGGCGCTATCACCAGGTAAACACTGGAACCGCAACCTAAGGACGCACACGGCTGCCTTTCACCTACCCCGCCCCTACACGCATCCACTTTAAGTCTAACGCCCGGCACTCCCCCGTGGCTCAGCAACTCCTGTTCTGGACTGGACCCTTCTGAGAGCCAGCAGGGCTGAGCAGGTGGTGTGGGCGCCCTCTGCCGAGGTGTGCAGAACGTGGAGGGAGGCACGCAGCGGCTCCTGCCCTGGGCTGCCGTCCTGTGCAGTCGCGGGCACTGTGGTGTCACAGCTCCCCCGACTGTTGTCGCGCTCACCGTCTGCTTCCTCTGTGTGTCTGGGAGTCCCGCGTGGTAGGTGACGAGATGCAGGATTCATGGGAGCGGGGAGGAGTCCCTCGGGGCTGGAGGGCACCCAGGTCCCCACAGGCACAGGGTGCCGTGGTGCCTGGGGCGGGCGGGACCGGGCGCAGGCTCTCGGCTGTCACTTAGTGTCTCTGCACTGAGAGCCTGAAGCGGCTGTCTGGGAGGGAAAGTCCTTAAGAGCTCGCTGCCGTATGGCACTGGTCTGGCGCTCGGTGCCAGCGTGTCCCATGCACGGTTCTGCTCTGGCGGTCCACATCCATGTCGAGGCCTGCCTGTTGTCCAGGGCAGGACAGGGTGGGAGGCTGCAGGGCTCTTCCAGGCAGTCGCCCCGGCTGCATCGAGTCCACTGGGACCCCTGGCCCTGCCCGGGCACGGGGGAGTGTGCCCCAGCGGTGGGCACACCTGTGCCTCTGCCGTGCAGCTGCTGGCACGTACCGGTGGTCGGCGTGGTCTGGCCCAGCAGCAGGCAGACCACGGGACGCAGACCCCAGCGGTGGGCACACCTGTGCCTCTGCCGTGCAGCTGCTGGCACGTACCGGTGGTCAGCGTGGTCTGGCCCAGCAGCAGGCAGACCACGGGACGGCGCCCCCAGCGCGAGGAGCCTCGGCTGCGGGCAGGGTCTTTATTTGGCTCACTTCAGGTCTGTGGCAACCGCTCCGTGTTAGAAAAGGACCGGGGAGGACGTACAAACATGCTGTGTCCCTAGGAAGTAGCCTACCGGAAATGCCCCGCCCCTCCCCGTCCCCCAGCCCAGCCGCCCGTGAGGGACGGGGAGTGGCAAAGGGAAAACAGTAAAACTGGATTTAACTGGAACATGCTCTAATCTTTCGTTTATTTCTGGTTAAAAATATAGCAATCCAGTGCAGTGTAGTAAAGAAATCCGCTCGAAAGGGAGCAGAGAAACAGCTAAACATAAGCAAAGCAAGGCCGAGTCCGTGAGGCGGGAGGGCTCCAGGGCCCCCAGGCGGGCGCGCACACGGCCCTGACAGGGACGAGGGCCGCGGCACCCAGGCGCGCCCCACCCCTGGTCTCTCGTGTGCTGGAGGGACAGCCCTGCAGAGAAGGCAGACACGGGGACCTGTTTCCGAGGGACTGAACGAGCTAACGCCGTACACCGGGGAGGGCTTGATATGCAACAGCGTCTCGGGCCGTCCTGGGCCAGACCCTCTGTGAGCAGCAGGGGCACAATGCATATCTGTCGGGGGGGTCGAGGCAGGCACAGAACAGACAGGTGAGAACCCGTGGAGGTCAGTAACCGGGCATCGGGACACGTCCGGCACACGGAGCACAGGGCCCACGCGCTGTCACGCCGGCCGCAGCGCAGTGGGCTCTGTGCCCGGCAGCCCCTCGGCGTCAGCGCCCAGGCGCGGCGGCGGTGCGGGGAGGGGCGGGCGGCGAGGGCGGTGGACGGTGGGGAGACGAGGGCTTTGCTTAAGACTCCGAGTGGGGAGGCGGCTCCGAGGAGGGCCGAGGGGCAGTGCCGAGGGGAGAAGGCGGGCTCGCTCCCCTTCCTGACGCAGCGGACTGAGAGTCGGACGAGGCCTGGGCTGGGACACCCTGCTGCCCGCCTCCGGCCAGGAAGAACAGAGCCAGGGACTCTCGGCCTCTCGCGCCGCTGGGGGCCGGGCCCTTCTCTCCCCACGTGGGAGGCTGGCGCGCCGGCCTCTGCCACGCCGCACAGCGCCGTGTTAGGCAAAGGCTCCTGGCTAAAATCTAACACCTCACCCAGGGAAGAAGGCAAACTGTGAGTAATCCCAGTCCTGTCCGCGGGGCCGTCCCGGGCGGCGGGGGGCGGGCTCCTGGCCGCGGCGGTCCCCTCAGATGAAGAAGTTGATGAACAGGATGGCGACTCCGATGTTGAGCAAGATCACCATGGCCACGAGGACAGGCGCCGAGCCCTGCAGCGGAAGGGGGGATGAGTGGGGGCCTCCACGGTGTCCCCCACCCACTTCCCCAGGACCAAACTGGGAAGGAGAGAGCAGTGACTGCGCCCACCCCCGCCGTGCAGGTGGCGCCCCGCGGGGTAGCCGGGGTCCCTGGGGCAGACTCCCCTTGCCGCATGGCTGCGGCCGGGCCTCCTGCTGGTGCCTCTCCCCCCACCATCTAGCCTGCTGGCACCCACTGCTGGGCTGTCAGGGTCCCCACTCCTCGTGCCGGCTGTCGCCCGGCTGTGGTGAGCCTGCAGACCACACCTGGCGGCCAACTGCCCCAGCCGTGAGGCTGCTCTGGCTGGACCTCGGGAACAGGACAGTGACGCCGCAGCACCAGGTGTGGTGCGTCCACCACAGCCCTGCCCAGGACACAGTCCCGTCCTGCTGTCCCCACAGCTGCCCTGGTTGGCCACAGGCTGACCAGGAAAGCAGCCGCTGTGTGGACTGTCCCAGACTGCTGCTCCGGGGCGGGCAGGCGGGCCGGCCCAGCTTCATCTGGGCTGCACTGTCCCCCAACCCGTCATCACGGACTGGTTTTGGGGAGGCTCCTTTACACCCCGAGTCTGGCCCCTCTGCAGGTTCAGAACACGATGGCGGCCCAGGAGCCCCCAGGGTGTGAGGCCTGGACCCACTCTGCAGGAAGGGGCGGGTCCTTGGCTCCCAGGAGCTCCCGGTGGCTGCAGTCTTCCAGGGAGGCAGCTCCCTAGGACAGGAGTCGCCCTGTCGTCCTGCACCCCACCCGGCACCCGCAGAGCCGGGCCCAAGCACTCGGGCGGGGGATGCTGGACCCCACAGCGGCGCTCCTGCCACACAACGCTCAGGGACTACCGCTGCTGATGACCTGTCCAGAGCAGGCCAACCCAGAGGTCAAAGTGGTCAGGGCAGCTGGGGGAGGGGAACCTGTGGGAGGGGGGTTCCCAGAATAAAGGAGCAGCAGAGCTTGCGGACCGGCACTCAGACTGGTGCATTGTGGGTCTGCGCGTTACCTCCCCTAACCCAGCAGGTGCTCCGAGAAAGACGGGGCCTGCTGGGCTTCGGTGGGCCCCGGCGAGCCCTGAGCAAGCAGGCCTGTGCCCGCCTCCCGCTCCCGTCCCCAGAGAGCCTGGGGGTGCTGGGATCCCGTCCCGCGCTGTCCTCCACCGTGCCCTGTCCACGGGCGTTTTCAGCGTGGCGCTGATGAGTGCCGTGGCACCATCACAGCGTCTCAGGCGTGAACCAAACGGTCCCGTGAGCACGGCCTGCGGTGCGGGATGGGGCTCGGAGACAGGTCTGAGCTCATGCAGCCCGCAGGACTCTGCCCAGGCTGCCTGGCTCCTGCCCTCACACCTCAGTCTGACCACCACACGCCCCCTCCGGCTTGCAGCCTGGGCCACTCCATCGGCTGTCGGCCCAGCCTCACCTGAGAGACTCGAGGGAGAACAAGGCTTGCTCAGCAACAAGTCCGACTAGAGACGGCCGGGGCCTGCTCGCGGGGAGGACACCTCGGCGGCCACGTCCTACCCAGGCCCTGGGCACTGCGCTGCAGCTGCCCTGAGCCCATCCAGCTGGGGTCGAGGACCAGGGAGGGACGTGGGCACCGAGGTGTGCCCCTGCCAATGGTGCCATGGCAACTGGACAGAGCCCCGTGCCGCGGTTCCACTCGGCTGCGGCCCAACCCTGTCCTCCCCAGGGGCAGCCAGCACAGCCCAGCTGCTGCCCGTGACCGGCCGGCCACAAGCACCAGTCCCTGGCTGCCCGCCGGCACTGCCCACCTGGCCGGGGTCTCCTAGCAGCCTCCAGCACTACCTGCACACCCGCTAGGCCGTGACCCACCACTGGATACCTCCACACGCACACCGTCTACACGGCACTACACACTCGCCCCACATACACCACACCCAGGGCGTCCAGGACCCCGTGAGAGCCTCAGTCCTGCACGCTGAGCGTGCCCGTGGGACCACCAGTGCCGGCAGCAGGCTGCACGGTGGCCCGGGAAGCCCCCTGAGCCTCGGCGCCCCTCCCACCACGGACACAGCAGCCCCTTCCCCTCCCGCAGTCCAGCGTCTGGGACAGCACCGGAGGCCACTGGCTCTTGTACCCCATCTCCCCTCGGGCCCAGCAGGAGGGACGAGACCCTGCCCCGGCCTCACCCTGAAAGCTCACGCGACAGTCAGAATCGTAGTCTGAACAAGAAAAGAAAACCAAAAACCGCACCCCAGCATGGCATCCTGGCCCTAGGCGGGGGCGGGGGCGGGGGCTGGCGCCCACCACTCAGCCTGGCTGGCTTCCCTGGGGTCGGAGGAGGGTCTCCATCAGCAGCCCCAGCTAGAGTGCTTCCTGGGACCACCACCCAGTCAAGCTTGTCCCCGCGCTCACACACTGGTCACCAGCACGGCTCAGCTAAATATAGAACCTGCACGCCTGCCCATCACCCCGTGCACCTGAAACAGCCCCACACGCGTGCCGCGTCCACACAGCCGCCCACGACCGTGGCGGGCAAAACAAAGCTGTACGAGCAAGCCGGCCTCAGGGCTGATCTCGGGCTGCAGGTCACCGTGGCCTCAGGCAGGAGCTGGGCCCCTGCTGGGTGGGCCAGGGGAAACCGCTGCTCCCCTAGGCCACAGGTGGGACCCACATCGGCCCAATGGGCGCCTGCCACAGGGTGACAGCGCTAGACGGTGAGGGACCCTGCCCGAGCACAAGCCCTCGTCCTCGGCCATCCCCCTGCAGAGCAGGGATGCTCCCTGGGCGGTCAGCACCTGCTGACCAGGAGCAGCTGGTGGGCTCCCATGATGCCCGTTCTCCTTTAGGGGGCGCCCGAAGCCCTGCGCCTGCCCCCCCCCCCCCCAGCAGGGGCACGCGGCAGCCTCAGGGAACGCGCAGAAAGCCCAGGGCCGCCCGCTCACCGCGCTGGACTTGAGCTCGTCCCCGTTCTCGTCGTCGGACTCCAGCGCCACAGGCAGGGACTTCTGGGGCGGCGAGAAGGTCAGGTCCCAGCGCAGCAGCCGGGGCTCGGCCCGGGCGCCCAGCCGCAGGCTCTCCAGTTTCTGCACCGTGGGCTCCGCGGCGGAGGCCGGCCTCAGGCTCTCTTTGTTCTGGGGCTTGGGCCGCAGCCTCTGCACCCCGAAGCCCCGGTCGTCGGGGCGGGGCTCCCCGGCGGCGCCCCGGCCGCAGCGTCGTCTCTGGGGCGGGGCCTGCATCCTCAGCAGCGGCCTCATCTCCAGCTTGTAGTTGCTCAGCCGCTCCTCGTCCCGCTCCAGCAGCTTGCCGCCCGCCGCGCTGTGGGGCGTCCACGAGAACGTGGGGGGGGACTCCGTCCGCCGCTCCCGGGGCTTGGGGTTCCCGGGCTGCCTGTGGCCCGAGCCCCGGGCGCGCAGGTCCTCGGCGGGCTGGCTGCTGCGGAGGGCGCCGCCGCGCACGCCCCGGGGGCCCCCGGCCTTCTCCTCGCCCCAGCCGCCGCGGGCGTAGTCCCCTCCCCGGCCCTCCAGGAGCACCTGGATGTCCCCGCCTCGCTCCTCGTCCACCGACACCTGCCGGGAGAAGTGGGCCACCTTGTTCCTGGAGGCGGGGGCCGGGGGCGGGGTGGCCGCGGGGCTGGCGGGGAAGCTCTGCAGGGGGCTGTCGTCCGGGGTCAGGTCGGAAGGGGTGGTGCCCTTGCGGTACAGCCCGGGGCTCTCCTGCTGCAGGGGCGCCCCGGCCGACAGCACCTCGATGTCCTCCTCGCAGGAGAGCTGATGCTTGGGTCGCTGGCACTCCAGCCCTTGGTGAGGGAAGAAGCAGAGCGCGGTTACCCGGGGCGCCAGGCTGGGCCTCGTTCCCGCGCAGCAGAGGCCGTGGCACGGCCCCCGCCCATGGGCGCCTGGAGGATGGAGAGCAGCGGGCGGCAGCTCCCAGCCCGGGCCCTTGGGCTGCAGGGGCGGATGGGAGTCTTAGGACGCTGGCCTGGCCTGGCCTGGCTGGGTGGCCCCGCGTGCACCCCAGCCCTGACCAGCAGGGCCCTCCTGGGTTGACGAAGCGTCCCCCGACTGGGGAGGCCAAGCCGCATCGCAGAGGGGTCACCCCGTCTGCCCACCGGGACCCAGAGGCAGCCCAGCCGTGCCTCTTCCTGGGGCCGTGGCTCCCCGCTTGGCAGGGTCAGGGGGCTCCTGGGGGGTGGGAGCAGCAGTCAGCGCCCTGAGGACCCCCAAGGCCTGGATGGCAGGGCCCAGCTGCTGCGACTCCCCTGCAGCTCCCCGAGCCTGGGCAAGAGGGGCGCACCCCCACCCCCGAAGGGCAGGTTCCATGTCCACTGACCAGCGGGCCCAGGCTGGACGCAGTGGGAGGAACACGAGAACGCGGCCTTTCTCATCCCTACACCTTTGTCTCCAAGTGCACCCCCAGGCTCAGCCGGGGGACGCCCCCCACCCTGCCCGGGCTGCAATGCTCAGAGGGCCCCGGCCCCGGCCACCAGGCACCTGGCTGCTCTGCCGGGTTGCACCGAGCCTCTGCCTGCGGCAGGAGAGGCGGCATCAGGGACATGGCTGCCCTCCAGCCGGCTGGGCCAGCGGTTATAAAGTGACAGCCATGTCCACACAGCTCAGCCGCCCGGTGCCGTCTCTAGGGGTTTAGATGTGCAGCAGCGAGCGGGGCTGGGCTGCAGCCATGGTGCCGGGCTCGGGCAGGCGGGCAGGTCCCTGCAAGCGCGCACCGCATGTGGCCAGGCGACGTGGGGAGAGGTCTCATTCCAGGGCAGGGGTGCACGCTAGGCTGTCACGCACTGCTGCAGAGGGAACAGGCCAGGCAGGGTCCCGGCGGAGCTGTGCTGAGACCAGGCACCCCTGAGCCCCGTCACCTCTGCACCCTCGGCTGGGCCTGCGCTCCCCAGGGCCGGCACTCCTGCCCTTGACCAGGGGCTGGGCCATCCAGGACTCGACCCTCGAGGTGGCCCCGTGGCCTTTCCCGCGAGGCTGGCCCAGCAGCCCCCCACCCAGGAGGGAAGCTGGCACCCCGTCAGCACCACCACAGCAGGAGGTGGCTGTCAGCTAAAATTAGCCCCCAGAGCACGCAGGGCTCCCGGAAGCACCCGTGCCAGCGTGTGAGGCGGCTCCGTTCCAGCGCCCGCTCTGGCCCAAGTCCTGGACCACAGCTGCTCAGCCCAGCCTCGCGAGCTCCGGGGGGCGGGTGGACGCTGGGTTCTGCCTCCCCTGCCCCGAGCCAATGACCGCAGGCAACATCGGTGTCCCAGAGGCCACCACGGGTCCTGCCCGGACACTGGAGGCGACCAGCCCCTCCCAGCTGCAACTCCTTCGCAGCAGGGGTAGCACAGGCTCGGGGCTCGGCCTCATTTTAAATCAACTCCACCTCGTGGTGTCCCAGGCCTTGGGCAAGCCCTGCCCCTCTGCTTTGGTATCTGCCCACGAGGCCCGGCCACGATGGGAACACCCATGTCCCCCTCGCCCACACAGCCGTTGTCTGCACACTCCCGGCGCCTCTAACACACTGCAGGTGCAAACAGGAAGTGCCCTGATGTTGGGAGACAAATCCCAGAGCAAGCCCAACACCAGGGCCCACGCCGCACGACTGCACGTCCCTGGGGGAGCACACAGGAGCCGGGTGCTGCGGCCAGGGGGTGCAGCCCATGCACTCACTAAGCCCACAAGGTCTGGGCACTGCAGCCCCACCTCTGCCACGGGGTCCAGAGTCCAGAAGCGGCTCCGCCAGGAGGCCTTGGCCAGGGAACTGGAGCCCTGGCCTGGGCGGCGTCTGACCGCAGGGTCTTGGCTCTCGGTCGCCAGGGCCGGAGTGTCCTGGGGCCGCTGCCACCCCGCACTGGGCCCCTTCAGTCCTTCTCCCGGCTCGGGGACCGGGCGCCAGCAGGGCCGGTGCCTTCCGGGGCGTTTGAGCCTCTCCCCGGGTCTCGTCCCAGCGTCGGCGCCTCCTCTCCCGTCTCAGGGCTGTCCTTGGACCTGGGGTTCCCCTGGCCCAGGACGAGCTCGTCTGTGTGGACTGTGTTCCCAGACCAGGCCATGCTCGGAGGCCCCGTGGTCGCCTCTTGGGGCCACCGTTCAGCACGCAGGGGAGTGGAGGGCAGGACCATGGCCAGCGCCCTCCCTTCTGCTAGAGACCCGGAGCACAGAGGCTCTGAGCAGGCAGTGGGCGCCGTCCGTGGCTGCCTGAGTGACCCCCACCCACTGCGTGTGGCCGGCCTGGTGGGAGGCACCCGGCACCACGCTGGCTCCTTCCCTGGTCCCCCCGTGGCACACGGCCATCTGCAGCAGGTGCAGGAGTCGGCAGACAGTGGCAGGGCCGCCCCTGCCTCCTTGTGCCCGCGGCACAGTGCATCTGGCCTGCCGGTTCCCAGGAGACAGGCGAGGTCTCCGGGGAGGAGGAGACGCCGGCCCCAGTGCCCAGCAGCTTGGACACCTCAGCCTGCTGTGGCCTGAGAAGGGTGACACGAGAGGACAAGGACGCTGGGAAGTGCACAGCTGACCCTGGCCCGACAGCCAAGGCCTCTCCAGCGTGCCCACAGTCTCACAGAGCCCACCCTGCCCACACCCGGGGGGCAGCAGGCTCCCCAAACAGCGCCCTCAGCCAGCGAAGGTGAGATCTGGAGCCAGGAACTACAGCCGCCGTCCGAGCCTGTGCCAGAAACAGAGGGCAGCGGGCAGTCGGCCACTCCCCCCTCCCCCAGGCTTGGCTCCTGGCCGCCTCCCCGAGGCCGGGGCTGCGGGCCTGGGTGTGCTCGGGCTGTGACATCACTACAGGCGGCAGGTGCCAACCCCGGGGCCTCGGCACGCTTACCTGGCACCGCCACTGCCTGGGAGTGCAGGTGAGGGGGGCGGAGGCAGGGAGAGACTGGGGAGGCGGGGCGGGCTGTGCTGCCGCCCCCAGGGTCAAGCGGTCGGCTCGTGGGCCCTGGCGCCCAGCAGGAAGCACACGGCACTCGTGAGCCTCGTTCCCCGCCCGGTGTTCCAGGTCCTTCCAGACCCACGGCACAAGGGCTGTGTCCACCGTGCAGCCACTGCCCACGTGTCCACTTCACGTTTGCACACGGGCTGGGGCGGAGGAAATGGAAGGGCAGACTCCACTCCTCAGTCCACACAGGCTCCGGCTGCCGCGGAAATCCATCGTCTCCAGGGAAACACGCAGCACTGTCATAGAACACTCCAGAACAGCCCTGGGGACTGTCACAGAGCATTCTAGAACACCGGGGAAGCGTGCAGGCTGTGCACTGTCACAGAACATTCTAGAACACCAGGGAAAGGTGGCGGGAGATGCACACGTGCCCAGCAAGTGCGTGTTCACGTTGGTGACAGCAGGAAAGCCACACACAGACACTCCTGTGCACGCAGGGACACGCAGCCACACACAGGCCAACATGCGTGTCGGAAGGAGATGCATGTAGAGGGCCCCACACAGTCACCCCCCTTCCTGGGGCAGAGTCCCGCTGTCTGCACCCAGCCAGCCATGGCGGACAGGCCTGAGCCCAGGGCCTGGCGTGGACAGGTCTGAGCCCAGGGCCCGGCGTGGACAGGTCTGAGCCCAGGTCAGGGTGCAGGGCCCAGTGTGGACAGGCCTGAGCCCAGGGCCCGGCGTGGACAGGCTTGAGCCCAGGTCAGGGCGCAGGGCCCGGCGTGGACAGGTCTGAGCCCAGGTCAGGGCGCAGGGCCCTGCGTGGACAGGTCTGAGCCCAGGTCAGAGCCCAGGGCCCGGCGTGGACAGGTCTGAGCCCAGGTCAGGGCGCAGGGCCCGGCGTGGACAGGTCTGAGCCCAGGTCAGAGCGCAGGGCCCGGCATGGACAGGTCTGAGCCCAGGTCAGGGCACAGGGCCCAGTGTGGACAGGTCTGAGCCCAGGTCAGGGCGCAGGGCCCGGCGTGGACAGGTCTGAGCCCAGGTCAGGGCGCAGGGCCCAGCGTGGACAGGTCTGGCCCAGGACCCACCTCCCCCCCGCCCCGCCCCGCCCCGGGGACCCCAGACTCACCGTTCTCCCGGTGCTGGAAGGAGGGGGAGAACTCTTTGGCAGTGATCCTGGCGATCCGTGCTTCCTCCTGGGCCTTCTGAGCCGCTGTGAGGGCCGCCTCGGCCTTGGCCCGGGAGTGGGAGGTCCTGGGGGGAGGGGCAGTGGTGAGGGCAGCAGGAAGCCACGGGCTGGGGTCTGAGAGCAGCCTGGGGGAGGGCTGGGCTGAGACCGGAGGCAGGCGCCCGCGCGTGTCCCGCCCCCTGCCTCTTCTCGTTCCGTGCTTCCAGCAAACGGCACCTGCCCGTGTGGACCATGTCTGTTCTCGAGCCGACAGCCCACACGCGTGCTCCGGGAGCCCAGACCACGCTGTGTGAGCGCCCCGGCCCCGGGGCAGGGCCAGCGGGCTGTCCCCTGCTGGGCGAGCCGGGAGGGGACGCACTGCCTTCCTGCTTCTCCTGTGCCGTCCCCAGCAGGTGGCGGAGGTGGGGGCAGGGCTGCCACGCTGGCTCCACGCGGCCGTGCAGGGGCCGTGGGCACCGCTGTCCCGACGCCGGGAAAGCTGAGGCAGAGTGCCTACCCTGGCAAAGTCTGCTTGGCTACTGCAGCAAAACACCACGGCCGGTGGCTACGGGCAGTGGGACTGGAGCTGGCGGGCTGGGGCCAGGGCACCAGCGGCAGGTCTGGGGGACGCACTCTGGTCATGGCTCCTGGCTGCATCCCCCCGACCATCTCACAGCTCAAGCACCCCCCAAAGGCCCCGGCACGCGGGAGTCTCAGCCGTGAACCCCGGGGACACACGACCAGGCCGCCCGGCCCTCCGTCTCCCGCAGGGGCAGTTACTTGAGGCCGCGAGTTAGAGTGAGACCCCCAAGCTGCTCGGGAGTCTCCTGTATTTAAATCCCACGGTGCTCACTTTTACCTGGAAAACTAAACCCGTGCCCCCCCACACACACACACTCACACACACACACACACACACACACACAGTCCCGTTAACCACAGCCTGAACGCCTGTCCCAGGATGCCCCTGCAGTTCCCAGGTTCCCCACCAGGTGTCGCCACACACACCTCCTGCTCCAGGCCCCTGGTGCGCGCTGATCCCGAGAAAATTCTGCCCTTCACACAACTTCCTGAAAACTGGAAAAAGAGCTGCCACCAGCACGGCTGCGGCCCCGCCCCACGCCGTGTAAAACGAGAACATTCCTTCTGGAAGATTCCTCGGAGCCTGGTGGCCACAGTCACAGCAGAGGCAGCGTGTGGGGGCCTAACCCATGAGCACAGCGGCGACCAGCACCAGACTCCGCGCGCCGCAGGCCCCGCCCACAAGCCCCCAGGCAGCCGGCGCCTCCCGGCCTGCAGCTCCCCCGGGACGCCCCCCCTCCCCCCCCCGTGGTGGTCGGTCAGAGAGGTGGCGTGAGCTCCTCCCGGAGGAGGGGAGCCGCGGTCTGACCACCCGGGGCGCAGCTGGCGGTGGTGGGGACAGAGCAGGGCCCGGCAGGGCAGGGCAGGGGCTGCCTGGGTGCCTGCGTGAGCCCAGGGCAGGGGCGCCCCGGGCCGGCACACCAGCAGGGGACCGCAGGGGCTGTCCCCCCCCCCATGCAGGCACCCGGGAGGCCGCCTGCCCCAGCACAGACCCCGCCAAGCTGTCTCGGGTCCCCTGGGGAGGGGCTTGGGTGCCCCGGGCATCTTCCCAAACGCCCCCAGCCCCACACTGGGCTCTGAACACAGGTGGCGCCCAGGTGCGGGGTGCACAGTGCCTGCCTCACGGCACCGTGGTCAGTACCAGCATGGACCCAGAACTCGGCCCACGTCCCCCCCAGTCACCGTGAAGCACATGCGTGTCCTAGGGCACGTGGTGAACACGCATGTCCCTTCCAGCTCCCTCCTGTCCGTGTGGACACATGTAAGACGGCCTGGCCCAGGACGGACAGAGTGTTTGCAACACAGGCCCCCGAGTTTGCCCCGAGCCCTCTGCCTGGCCACTTCTGGGCAGGGAGGGTGGGGCCGCGGCGATGGGTTCCCTGAGGAGGGGCTGCTGGGCGGGGCTCAGCCGGTCAGCCTGAGCTAAGCGGCCACGGTTCCCGCTGGACAGCACGTGCCGGGCCCACCTTCATGGCCACAGTGACGGACAAAGCCACCTGACCAGGCCTGGGTCTCGCCGTCTCAGAGCCCGGGCTGGGGCGTGGCCAGGGGTCCCACCCGCGAGCTTGTGGACGGCCCCCCAGCCTGACGCTGAACCCGCACCCTGGAGACACCTGTGTGGACCTGACCCCGTGTCGGGCGACTTCTCACGAGTGTTGGACCTGGACCAGAGCAGCAGGCGCGAGCACACACGGGCCTGCCGGGCGCCCACGCCCCTGCTCAGTACAGCACCGCCGCGCCGCGTTCACTCCCGCTGGCGCGCGTGCGTTTGCGTGTGGATGTTCACGCACGTATAAAAGTGGCACGCGCGCGTTTGCGTGTGGATGTTCACGCACGCATGAAAGTGGCACGCGCGCGTTTGCGTGTGGATGTTCACGCACGTATAAAATGGCACGCGCACCAGCCCTGAAATAAGATAAACCCCGACGAGTGCTTGCAGCGGAACAGGAGCCGCCCAGCACGTGACAGGGAGTTCTCCAGGCTGAGGCTGAGGCCCTCCACAGGGTCCTCGCGGCTCTGCCTCACCCCTGCGGAGGGTCTGGCCTCCGTGATGGGCGGGTGGCACCTGCACACAGCCGGGCGCCCGCTGGCCGGCTTCCATGGCGGGCTCAGCAACCCAGGGAGGAGAGGCGGCCACTGCCGTGCAGGGGCCGGGGCTGGGGGGAGGAAGGGAGTCCAAGGCCAGGTACGACCCACTGTCCAGGGGCTACTTGCATCAGCGGGCGGCCGGGGTCCCCGCAGAGGGCCATGGAGAAGGTTCCAGACAGCAGGTCGAGGGGCTGGTGGGATGCACTTAGCTTATGCAATCTGAATCGGCCATGCACAGGTCACTGCGGTCTGAGAATAGCCCCCACCCTGCCCCCAGACCCGGAGATCCTGGGTCCCCAGAAGGCCCCACACCCCGACAACTCTGCTCAGGAGTGGGTTCTCTGGCCCCTTCCCCGAGGGGTCTGTGAGTCGTATTCCGGGCACCCAGCGTGCCAGAGAGGAGGCACCAGCCACACTACACGGCCGCAAACACACGGCGAGAGAGACAGCCGCGGCGGGAGCCCGGGAAACCCCAGGCCAAGAGCCCCGAGATGGCCCGGGCGGGCGGCTGGGCCGGCATCACCACGCCAGCACGGCAGAGCCAGCCACCCAACCCAGGCATGAGCCGGACCCCCTGCAAGGTGCTGCGCCCAGGTGGCCGGGCCCATCCCCACCAGGGTTTTGATGGGCAGGTCTGGGCGGGACCGAGCGCCCGCATCTCACAGGGTCCGGGGAGGGGGAGGGGGCGGGTGTTGGGTCGGAAGCTGCACAGGTGAAGGGGAGGACGTTTCCCCAGAACCTGCAGGAGGCGCCGGCCGCGTCCGCACCTCGTTCCACCCTGGTGAGACCCATGCGAGGACGCCGACCCCAGAACCAGGCTGGCTGCCCTGAGCCGCCGACTGTGGCGCTGTGTGCTGGCTGTCCTGAGCGCTGCCCTCAGGTGGGCACAGGCAGCTGGGTGGCTGGGGGTGGGGTTACAGGGGGAGCACAAACTCCCACCCAGGCCACACTGAGTCCCTGCCCAGACACGCCCTGGGCAGCCCCCAGCCCCGCCCACCCCACAGACACGCCCTGGGCAGCCCCAGCCCCGCCCACCCCACAGACACGCCCTGGGCAGCCCCCAGCCCCGCCCACCCCACAGACACGCCCTGGGCAGCCCCCAGCCCCGCCCACCCCACAGACACGCCCTGGGCAGCCCCCAGCCCCGCCCACCCCACAGACACGCCCTGGGCAGCCCCAGCCCCGCCCACCCCACAGACACTCCCTGGGCAGCCCCCAGCCCCGCCCACCCCACAGACACGCCCTGGGCAGCCCCAGCCCCGCCCACCCCACAGACACGCCCTGGGCAGCCCCCAGCCCCGCCCACCCCACAGACACGCCCTGGGCAGCCCCAGCCACGCCCACCCCACAGGACTGTACTTCAGTGGTGGAGACCCTGGCCGGCTCCCCCGTCCTCCTCTGCCCATTGCGGGGCTGGCCCTGCTGACTGGAGTCCTCGGAGGAGCCGCAGGGAGGCCCACGGGACGCAGCCGCCACGGGGCAGAGGCCGAGGGGCCAGGGCCTCCTGTGGGCGACACGCCCAGGGCCTGCTCTGCAGGACGAGCCGGTCGCCAGGAGCTTGGCAGCCTCGGCTCCGCCTGTACCCCCCCCCCCACCGTCCGTGCTCACAGGGGGGCAGCCTCAGGGGGTGCACTTGTTGGGGGGTCCCGTCCTCCATGGCGGCGCGGTGCACCCCCACTTCCTGTCCCGCCTCTGACTGCAGTACAGGGACCACCCCCACCTCAGGACGGGCGCTGACTCGGCACACAGGCGGATCACCTACAGCATGGCCCCTCCCCACCTCAGGGCTGCTTCTGGCTCTCTTCGCTCCCCGAATCCACACCCCCCTCCCCCAGTCTCACGGTGCCCGGGTCACCCGTCTCCTCCCAGGGCTCAGGCCCAGCCCCGGAGCCCTCGAGATGCCGCCACAGACCCCCTCCGGCTCCGGCGTCCCCGGGCTCCCCTGGCAGAGGGCCCTGGACTCGGAGGGGAGCAACGGCAGGGGGACTCCCCGAGCGAGCGCAGGGCCCTCCCCTCCCGGCCCGGCCCGGCAGCCTCAGGGCACTGCCTGCAGAGGACGAGGACGGAGAGGAGCCCGGGGCCTGCCCCAGGACAGGGACCGAATCAGACGTCCTGGGCTCTGCTGGGCGCCCAGAAACCAGCGTCTGCTGCTCTCTTCTGGGCGGGGGTGGGGTGGGGTGTGTGTGGTGTGTGTGTGTGTGTGTGTGATGTGTGCATGATGTGTGTGTGTGGTGTACATGTGCATGGTATGTGTGTGTCGTGTGTGTATGTGTGTGTGGTGAGTGTGTCATGTGTATATATGTGCATGTGTGTGGTGTATCTGTGTGGTGTGTTATGTGTGTATATATGTGTGGTGTGTATGTGCGTGTGATGTGTGTGGTGTGTGATGTGTGCATGATGTGTGTGTGTGGTGTACATGTGCATGGTATGTGTGTGTCGTGTGTGTATATGTGTGTGGTGAGTGTGTGTGGTGTATGTGTGTATATATGTGTGGTGTGTATATGTGTGTGTGATGTGTCGTGTGTATATGTGTGGTGTGTGTATATGTGCGTGTGATGTGTGTGTGGTGTGTGTATGTGTGTGATGTGTGTTGTGTGTTGTGTGTATACATGTGTGGTATGTGTATATGTGCGTGTGATGTGTGTGGTGTGTATCTGTGTGGTGTGTGTCATGTGTGTATATATGGTGCGTGTATATGTGCGTTGATGTGTGTGGTGTATGTGTGTGTGATGTGCATGTGTGTGGTGTGTTTATCTGTGTGGTGTGTGTATCTGTGTGGTGTGTGTATCTGTGTGGTGTGTGTATATGTGCGTGTGATGTGTGTGTGATGTGTGTGTCTGCACACGTCTGGATGTCACATGACTGCTCCTTCTCTCTCCCCATCAGGACCCCCTCCCCCCCCGAGGCCCTGCAGGTGCACCCGCCGTGCTCAGGGCTGCACACTCACTCCTGCCTGGTGCGCCCACAGCCCTGTGAGGTCTGCAGGTCCCACTGAGGCCAGAGAGGTGGAGCCACTGGCCCGGGCCCGGGGTGTGGCCTGCAGCCTGGGTGGGCCAGAGGTCCCCACTGATTGATTTCTCCACCCCTGCACAAGACAGCCCCACCCTCTCACGGCCTCTGGGTCCAGTGGGGGCCCTCAGCAGGAGAGCCATCCCCCTACCTCCCCTGGCACTGGGACCGCCCCTTCTTGTCCCCCGCGTCTCCAGGGCTGTGAGCCGCACAGGGCCAGGGACAGAGGGACTGCAGAGCTGCAGGGAGCGTCTCCCAGGAGCCAGACGCCAGTCAGGGCAGCACACGGAGGGACGGAGCCACCAGCTGACGTCCGGGGCAGGAGCCCATTGCACAGATGAGAACATGGAGGCTGCGGGGAGGCAGAGGGTTCGCCAGCCTCACGTCCAGGGTGAGCAGTGGGCCAGGGTCACGGCCCCAGGGACACAGCGGGCAGCCCAGTGGCGGCCACCCTAAGCAAGGAAGCCTCTGCTTGTTGTAAAGACCCGCTTCCTGGGGCTGGTGCCGTGGCACCGTGGGTGAGGCTGCTGCCTGTGACGCCAGCATCCCACGTGGGCGCCGGTTCCAGTCCCGGCTGCTCCTCTTCTGACCCAGCTCCCTGCTAATGCCCCTGGGAGAACAGCAGTGCTGGCCCCAGTGCTGGGCCCCCGACCCACGAGGGAGTGCATGTGTGTGGTGTGTGAGGTGTGTGTGGTGTGTGCGTGAGGTGTGTGCTCCTGGCTCCTGGCTTCGGCCTGGCCCGGCTCTGACTGTCGTGGCCGTCTGGGGAGTGAACCAGCGGATCAAGGCCCCTCTCTCCCCCTCACTCTGTAACTCTGATTTCAATAAGTCAGTCAGGCCGGCGCCGTGGCTCACTAGGCTAATCCTCTGCCTTGCGGCGCCGGCACACCGGGTTCTAGTCCCGGTCGGGGCACCGGATTCTGTCCCAGTTGCCCCTCTTCCAGGCCAGCTCTCTGCTGTGGCCAGGGAGTGCAGTGGAGGATGGCCCAAGTACTTGGGCCCTGCACCCCATGGGAGACCAGGAAAAGCACCTGGCTCCTGGCTCCTGCCATCGGATCAGCGCGGTGCGCCAGTCGCAGCGCTGGCCGCGGCGGCCATTGGAGGGTGAACCAACGGCAAAAGGAAGACCTTTCTCTCTGTCTCTCTCTCTCACTGTCCACTCTGCCTGTCAAAAAAAAAAAAAAAAAAAAAAAGTCAGTCAGTCTTTTTTTTAAATTTTTTTTCTTTTACACTCCTGGGAAGAATTTTAAGCATTTCAACGTACATGTGTGTTACGTGTTATATGTCTCATGTGCGCTGCGTATTGAACCATGACCCCCGAAACACACATGTGACCCATGGCCCCTAAACACACATGTGAACCATGGCCCCTAAACACACACACGTGAACCATGGCCCTGAAACACACATGTGAACCACATCCCCCCAAACACACATGTGAACCACATCCCCCTAAACACACATGTGAACCATGGCCCCCCAAACACACATGTGAACCATGGTGCTCGAAACACACATGTGAACCATGGCCCTGAAACACACATGTAAACCATGGCCCCTGAAACACACATGTGAACCATGGCCCCCTAAACACATTCGTGAACCATGGCCCTGAAACACACACGTGAACCATGGCCCCTAAAAATACACGTGAACCATGGCCCCTGAAACACACACATGTGAACCACATCCCCCTAAACACACATGTGAACCATGGCCCTGAAACACACATGTGAACCATGGCCCTGAAACACCCATGTTGGGGCCCCTGGTGCCTGTGACCTTGCTGGAGCTGGGGTGTGCGCCAGGCCGTCACATCAGAACGAGTCGCGCTGACCCACTGCGTGGTGCCCCTTGTGGCACAGGGGAGTCGGGGGTGGGGCTTGGCCTCGCAGCCAAGACGCCTGCATCCCGCCCTGGAGAGCCTGGCTGTGAGTCCTGGCTCCGACCCCGACGCCGGCTGCCTGCCAACGCACACCGGGAGACGCAGGTGGTTCAGGAGCTGCCCTGCCCCCCATGTGGGAGAGCTCACAGCTTCGGCCCCAGGCACTGGGGTGTGAACCGGGGGCTGGCAGAGCGTGGTCCCTCTGCTTCTCTCTCTCTAAAATAAGGGGTGGGGGCTGGGACGCAGAGGCAGCCTCACGCGGAGGGAGGGGCTGTGAGGACACAGAGGCCAGAGGCCCGGGGCAGCCCCTCGCGTCAGCCGCCCCGGTGTGGCCCCGCCCACACTCTGCCCTTATCCTCCGGGCCTGGGAGATGGAACGTCCTGCAGCCCACGTCCCAGTGTGCAGCGTTGCCTGCTGGCCAGTCAGGCACCCTGGAGTCACACTCGCGCCCCTGACTCCGGCCAGCCCACTACGCTGGGGCCCGGGGGTGCCGGGACTGCTGGAATCCATGGAAGAAAGCCCCTGGCACGGTGTGTTGGAAGCCAGGCCTGCGGTGGCTGTGCCAGCCCAGGGAGGCGGCCCAGCCTGAGCAAGCCTCTCTCCCTGGTTACCGTTGCCAAGGCAACCCCGCCTCTTCCAGGGAGGCAGCGGGCGGACCGGGACCCAGGGCCCCCTCCCGCCCGCAGCAGACAGGCTGGGCAGCTGGAGGAGGCACCGCCGGGCCCTGTGCCCAGTGCCGGGCAGAGTCTGCAGGCAGCCTGGCGCCAGTCTCTGGCCACTGCTCCAGGCAGGCCACCTTCCTCCCAGGTCTCACCCTGGCAAACCCGGAGAGAGGAGACACGTGTGCCAGGCACTGCACCGGCACAGCCCACAGCCCCCGTGGGAGTTACACGAGCCCCCCCGCTGGGACCCGGACTTCTTGTGGGCCCGTGCTGAGCACACTGCTCTGAGATCCAACCCGGGCCCAGGCCAGGCTGCGAGCGCGGGTCGGACTGGCAGAGGAAGACTGAGGCTGGCGGCGGGCGGCCCGCGGTGAAAGCCATCACAGCCCGCCCACCTGCCTGGCCGATGCAGGAGCAGGGGAGGGGAGAGGAGGGGAGGGGAGGGAGAGGAGGGGAGGGGAGGAGAGGGGAGGGGGCCCTCGCTAAGCAGGCCCAGCAATCAGAGCCGCAGGTGCCCAGGTGGTGCCCCGGCAAGGCCACAGAGGGCCGCCCCGTACCGCAGGCCTGACTGGACAGAACCTGGGGGCATGGGAGGAGCAGGCTCTGTGGACCCCGAAGCATGGGGGCCCCTTCGCTGAGACAAAGGGAGGAGAAACCAGCCACGGCCCTCCCAGGCCCAGGGAGAGGCTGCGTCAGCCGCTGGGGGTTTGCCTAAGGGCACAGGGGTTCGCAAGAGGCCAGGGGCCCCCCGGTCCTCGCATCCAGCCCTCCAGGTGCTCCGTCCAGGCCTCCAGGCAGGGGTGGGGAGCTGGCCGCCGCCCCAAGCAGCAGCACTCACACGTGGGAATCAGGGGACGTGTCCCACTGCCCATTAGGCACGGGGAGCGAGCTGGCGGGGAGCAGCAGCGGGCGTCCTCAGCCCCAGCTAGCGCAGCCTCCCCCCCTCCACGTTCCAGCCTGGGGGAGTCCACGCCGTCCCCAGGCCAACGGCTCGGAGCCCCACCCCAGCTGCTACAGCTGGGAATGGAGAGGGACCTGGCCTCTGCCTCCCTCCGCCCCTGATACAGCTGGGGATGAGAGACAGACCCAGCCAGCAACCC